CACACCCTTTGCTTAAGTGAACAGCTACACCTGCTTGTTCTTTATGGGTCCCTCTCTATCCTTCACTAATCTTTTACTGTTAATGTGTTTGAAGAACATGTTACTATTTGTTTTAGCACATTCTGCCATCCTTTCCTCATGTTTCCTCTTAGCTTTCCATTTTCCGGCCTTAGCCTCTCTTCTACATTTGAGATACTCTTCCTGGTTTCCATTGCTATTACTGTTCCAGTGTACATCATATGCCTCCTTTTTCTGCCTTATATTCTCATCAATATCCTCAGTCATCCAGGCTACTCTAGCTTCAGACTTATTTTTCAATGGCATGTACCTACCTTGCATCCTATTCATTTCATTTTTCACCAACTCCTTTATCCACCAAAGTGTGTTACAAATCCCGTCCAACTTTTAGACCCCTAATATCTGCTCTTTTTCACTCTGGGATTTCAATCGTTGGCTGATTTTTATCCTTTTCCAACTTAATATATTATGATTGCTGTTTCCCAAATACTCCCAACTCTGACATTCTCCACTTGGATTGCCTCATTTACTGAGAACAGATCCAGTATAGCTTCCTCCTGATAGAACTGGAAATGGACTGTTCCAGAAAGTTCTCCTTCACACATTGCAGGAATTTCTCCCCTTTTGTCTCCCACACTTTACCTTTGTACCAGTTTACTCTAGCGTAATCAAAATCATCAACCATCACATACCTACTTGCCCTGTTTCCATAATCTGCCTACAAATGGTCTCTTCTACTTCCTCCCCACTATTTGGAGGTCTATAATAAATACACAACTAAGTCACTGCTCCCTTCTGTTTCTCACATCCAACCATATAGATTCTAATTCAGGAACTGCATCTCTTTCAAGGACAATGATACTGTCTTTGATCAAGTCTGCTATACCTCCTCCCTTTGTACCCATGCTATTTCTACTAAAAACCTTATATCCAGACCTGTTCTGATGTGCCTTGAGCCACCATTCTGTCAATGCTACTATGCCACATACAGCAGAGCAATGTTTGCTTCTAGTTCCCCAATTTTGTTTACGATACTCAGTGCATTTACATACATACAATTTAACCCTGTCCTTGTCTCTTTCTTGCCCATTGGAAAATGACCATTTCTTGTTCACTGTCAACACTCAAGTCATCCCTCACTTTCTTTTCCCTGTTCCCCATCTTCTCTCTTTTGCCCTCACTGGGACTTCCAAAACTAAGCCCGTTAGTTAACCCACTTCCCCTGCATTACAAGTTTAAATCCACCCCCACTACAGTATTTACCCTTTCAGCCAGGGAATTAGTTCCACTTTTGCTCAAGTGAAGCCCATCTCTTCTGAACAGCTTTCTCCTTTTCCAAAAGTGAGCCCAATGTCCCAAAAATCTAAACTCCTCCTGCAAGATATGTATTAATCTTTCTGGTCTTTGCCTAAATGGTGAATCTCGTGAAACAGGTAGTATTTCTGAGATTTGTATCCTGTATTTCAACCTACTCCCTAAATCCAGAAACTGCTCCTGTATGTCCTTCAAGCTGTCCCTCCCTATGTTGGTTCCACATGAGCCACAACCACTGGTTGTTCACCCTCCCTTTCCAGAAGCTCATTCAGCCATTCTGATATGGCCCAAATCCTTGCACCCAGGAAGCAATGGACTATTGAGGACTCACAATCTCAGCTGCAAGCTAGACTATCTATCCCTCAAACTATTGAACCACCCTACGACCACCTTTCTAATCTGCCTATCTCCCTCTCTCTTTTCCCACAGGACCCTCAGGCACCATGGTCCTGTGATCTTCCCTCGCATTATCCACCTCTGAGTCAGTTGAGTTGCTCGCTAAATAGGCATCTAAAATTTCATACCAGTTCAACAGCTCCAGGGAATCCTTGGTTTCCTGACTCTGCTATCTCTTTTCCTTTTGGCGAATGGTCACCCATTCTCCTGCCATCTCTACACTCCTCCTTTCCTGCCCATCATGTGGAGTGACCGCTCTGTGATAAGACTGTCGCAGAAACCTCCTTTCCCTTGAATGGTGTGCAGTGGAGAGAGTCACTGCTCCAATCAGCCACATATTGTTCAAGGACTGCTACTGCCCAGCAATTCATGACTGTCCTGGATAGCTTGTGGATCCAAACCCTCCCACATCTTACATGCCTTACAAATCACAAGCTTTCCCAAAGCCTTTGCCATCTTTTTGGGTCAAGATGATGCACACTACTGAGGGTCTGCTGTTTCTAAGCCACAAATAAACTTTCTAACAGCCTGTCTGTCTGTCTTTTTTTTTGGTTAAAGGAGGAGGCAGGGAAACCCTACAGTAATGTAACTACAGAGAGAACAACTTAGAGAAAAAGTGGAGGAAGAGAGCTGACTAGGGATTTTCTCTTACTTCTCCGCACAGATGGGTGAGAGCGAGAGCAAGATTCCTTTCATAGGCTGGATGTTTCTGCTATAATGCACGTAGCTAAGGCTGTGGTCAGCAGCCGAGGGTCTAATCAAGTGGTTGTTAATATGCTGGCTCCTCCTGAGCCCACAACAATTAGTCTCAATTGGAAAACCAATCAAAAGACAGTCTGTGGGCAAAACTGCTCACACAGATAGTGCCATTCTTTCTGGAATACTCCCTCAGTACTTGAATAAGCCAACATTGGAAGTACAACTCACAAAGCATTTCAGTAGTTTGATTTTTTTAAAACTGCAAACAACTGTTTACAAAATTGCCATGGTTTAAATCAGATTGTTTCTACTCCATTGCCCAAATGATAATAAAAATGAACTTTGCAAGATCTGTTAAGTACAGGAGATAGGGAGAATTGATTTTGCTTGATCCATTTAGAGCATTTTTGCATTTTATAACATTGTGGACTGCCTCTGCTGCTGTGGCGGAATTGTCAGAACTGTCTAGAGTTTTCAGAACATGTTGTTGGATATGGTTTATATAAGGATTTTTTTTCCAACTATTTGGTAAAGAAAAGCTCAGGGAAGAACTGCATTGTTGCAAGAATGTTAAGTTTGCACAATTTGGCTGATGGATGCACTCAACTGAGTGCCTTCTTCACTCCTTTTACATTTTTGCCCTTTGGTTACTCACACTTCTGCCAGTGGAAAATTACTCCCCATTTACTCCACCAAAAAATTCATGTGGATCATGCCTTTGGTACATTTACTTACTCATTGTGAAATTATATTTATCTTACTTTGGTAACTCCTAGAGAAAAGTGGAGTCAATATAGTTAGGTATTCCCTGTGTCATACTCACATCTACTTATAGAGTCATTGAGTCATACAGCATGAAAAGAGATTGTTTGGTCCAACTAATCCATCCTGACCATGTTCCCAAACTAAACTAATCCCATTTGCCTGCATTTGGCCCATGTCCGTCCAAAACTTTTCTATTCATGTACTTATCCAAATGTCTTTTAAATGTTCCAAAAGTACCTGCATCTATCAATTCTTCTGGAAATTCACACTACACATGAACCACTCTGTAAAAAAAAGTTGTCCCCAGTGTCCTTTTTAAATCTTTCTCCTCTCATCATAAAAAAGGTCCCCTAGTTTTGAGCTCCCCCAACGAGGGAAAGACCTTTGCTATTCATTTTATCTATGACCCTCATGATTTTACAAACCCCGACAAGGTCACCCCACAACCTCCTATGCTCCAGTGAAAAATGTCCCAGCCTATCCAGCCTGGAACTTAAATTCAATGATGTTTGCTCTTTCTCCTTAACTATTGCAACAGGAAGTGAGCTAATTCTATTAACAGGCAGGATCGTCGCAGCAACCCAGAGAATAAAAAATGTTGCTGCTTTCTAACTGGAATCCAATTACTTCCTACTTCAGCACATTAGAACATTTCTTCATCTTAGTAATACTGAAACTTGATGACAACTTCAAAATAACAACCACTCTTGGTTGAATCATGTAACTACCAGGGAGATCATCATTGTATATTCCCAGATGCCTCTAATCAGTCATAAAGAAATTCTTTGCTAAAGTTCAGAAAATGTAGGAAATTGTACTCCAAATGACATCTAACTCTCCAACAACATGAAGGAGAAATGCTTCTATTCAGCCATTGTGATCTTGTGGTTGACCAGAATCTCAAGTTGTAAAATTGATCAAGTTTACAAAGAGATATTGAGAGGTTAAGTAAATGGTAAAAGGTTGGCAAATGGAACATAATGTGGGAAAATGTAAAGTTGTTCATTTTGGAAGGGAGAACAAAAGAACAGAATATTATTTAAATGGAAAGAAACTATAGAAATCTGCAACACCAAGGGACTTGGGGAGACTTGTATGAAACACAGAAAGCTAGCTCACAGGTGCAGCAAGTAATCAGGAAACCTAGTGGAATGTTGACCCTAATTTCAAGAGAGTTGGAGAATAAGAGTAAGGAAGTCTTACTGCAATTGTACAAGGTGCATTTAGAGTATTGTGAGCAGTTTTGGCTCCTTATTTACAGGAAGATATTGTTTAATTGGAGGCAGTTCAGAGAAGGTTCATTAGGATGATCCCTGGTATGGAGGGATTGTTTTATGAGCAAAGACTAAACATGTTGGGACTATACTCACTGGAGTTTAGAGCAATGAGAGGTGATCTTAAGGGGCTCGATGGGATACATGTTGAGAAGATGTTTCCCCTAATGGGAGAGTCTAGGACCAGACAGCATAGTCTCAGTATAAAGGGGTGCCAATTTAAGACTGAGATGAGGAGGAATTTCATCTCATAGGGTTGTGAATCTCTGAATTCCTTACCGCAGAGAGCGGTGGGGACAGAGTCCTTACGTATATTTAAGGCTGAGATAGATAGATTCTTGACCAGTATGGAAATCAAGGGCTGCGGGGAAAAACACAGGAAAGTGCATATGAGGAATTTCAGATCAACCATGATCCTATTGAATGGTGGAGCAGATTTGAGGGTCCAAACAGTCTTCTCCTCTCCCTATTTCTTATAGTCGTATGGTCTTATGGTTTAATTTAAAATAATACATTTTATGCCATTTTTCGCAGGGATTCTATGAAAGAAAATTGTCAAAAGTGAGCACTTCCCATACAGCAAATAGCTTCGCTCTGTTTCTAAAGGAAAATAAATGAATTCTTTTATTAAGGTGGAGCAACATTACGTCTCATCAGTTTCTATTGTAGAGGAATATTGTTTTGATTGAAGAACAGCAGTAACTGGAAAGGAAGTCGGCATCATTCTCAAAACAATGATATTGTTCATCTCACCAATCACAGTCACACACTGATTATAATTTACTGTGTATTTTTAGCACTGCTTGTGAAGAGTGCCATTACCAAGGCCCAGCAGTATAAAATATAACTTAGATAAATGAATAGATTATTGTCTAATTAAAACTAGAGTGATTTTACCCAAATCAAACAGCTAATTTAAATTTCAAAAGCCTTGTCCTCTACAAGCTAGCTTGCACAATAGTATCATGTGTCATAAATGATGTTCACAAATAGTTTATTTTATAACAATAGTAAGAATGTAATTAAAGATAGATGTTTTAATATACCTAATCAGCTAATAAAAAAACCAATACCCAATTCTTTTCTCTTTATTTCCTTGATGTGTTTTTGGCTATTTTTCTTTCATTGTTAAGTCTACTTGAAGCACAATCAATCCCTGGTTCTTCCAGCATGCGCATTGTATTTAGAATAAGAGCTCATCCATCTATCTCCCACTCTCACTCCTATTTTCCCAGACTGCTGTAGATCTCTGTACATCATTCAGTTTTCCCTTCATCCTGTAAGCTATAAGAGTTTTGATGTCAGGTAATCATTGCTTCTCGATTAACTTCCTTATTTCTCCCACTTTCAATGTTTATGAAATTCTGCAGGAATAGTGTTTGGGCCCTCGCGCACTGAATTTCAAACAGCCTTTAGCCAAATGAGTGGTTAGGTAATTCCATTACTAATGTCACTCATAGTTATATTTAATCCCAGGTTCCACTCGCTTTGATGAGCCCAAGGTCACATGTACCTCTCCCGTTATTTTCTATTTGAGCAGGATGCATTCAGTCCAATTAAAAGTAAAATACTGCAGATGCTGGAAATCTGAAGAAACGCACACAATGCTGGCAAAACTCAGCAGGTCTGGCGACATCTGGGGAGACAGAAACAGAGTTAATCTTTCGAGTCTGGTATGGCTTCTTCAGAATAATACACTGCACTCAGATCAATGTCTTTATGTCTTGCCTGTTAATTAATTCCTCACATGGCAGTAGGTGTTGCATTGCAGTTAAGCTTCCTGATTTAATCCAAATTCTCACGAGCCTGACAAGAAACACAATTCAAATGGATAAACCCAACACCCAAGACTCATTATTTTATCAAGTGATTTATTTGCCTGACCAGTAGGTGGCAGCGACTGTAAATTGCTTTGGTTTTCTGGCGTCATTTAAAGAGAAATTTACTGGCCGTCCCATTATAGTAATAGTTTACAACCTTTCTAATTGATGTCCAGTAACAGGCTGATGGGAGGTATTTAGTGCAATACCTTATTGTTATTCTGTTCCTGGGATGGACAGTACGAATGGGTGACAAGGGGTTATGGATAATGTTGACCAATCTCCAACATAACTGCGCAGATCCTTAAGGTATCAGAGCAAGAGGAGTGTCACAAATAATGCCTGCTCCAAAAAAATGGTTCTAAACCCTTGCATTTCAAAAGAATAAAATAAGGGGAAATAGGGTGAAGGTAGTAATTCCTTTAAACATCTAATTTAGTTCAAGGGGTAAATCAGTAAACTACTTTTACTCTGAGCTGCTACTTTTAAACAAGTCCAGTTAACACAATCTGATGGAAGTAGGATAAGATGCACAAAACCTGTGGTGAAAATTTAGTGCGACTGCAAAAATGAAGTCTAATCAGACTATTTTTGAGGTTTCCTGTTTGTTGACAAAGCATGTCATGATGGAAAAACAAGATTGCAACAAGGTTTTGGTTCTAAACTTGCTTAGCCTTTGCTGCTAACCACCATTCACCCTACTTTCAAAACTTCAGTAAACAAACTTCTTTTGAGCGAAGTTTAAGAGGATAAATTGTTTTGGGGGTGAAAACAATCCACGTCAGCAGAGCGAAAGAGTGAAGCAGAAAACTGTTCAGAAACATCACGTCAATTTTAATTTTCCACTCATGAAAACACTGCCAAGATTGTGAATTTCAAACCAAGTAAAAGAGGCAAAATTTAGGGACCATGCTTCCAAAGAAAGTTTGAACGATTCTTCAGTTCTGAGGAGTCATAATGGACTCAATACATTTCTCTCTCCACAGATGCCGCCAGCCCAGCTGAGTTTCTCTATAACTTTCTAAAGTTTCAGATTTCCAGCACGTCCAGTTGCATTTTGCTTTTATTTGAACTATTGTTTTGTGAACTTCAGCAGAAAGGACTTCAGAAGTATTGAAATGTCAGCTGCTAATTCACTACCAGCCCATTTTGTGTTGCTGGTTTAGATCAATTTTCCCCCTTTTACCTCTGGTTCAGAGGCTGTGATTTTGTTTCATCTGTACTGTACTTTTTAAAAAAGGCTAACATCGGAACTGTGCCCGTCCTATGAGCAATCTTAACTGTGAAACCTAAGAAGGAGATAAAAATAAGGATTTTGAAGGATTTGCGTCAGCTGCCAGAGACCGTAAACACTATAAGTCAGGTCTGATTGATTGCTTAATGCTCCATGTAAAAATCTAGATGGAAGTCAGATTTTGGATTTGCCAACTGACTGGGACACTGGGAGTAATGTGGAGTGGAAATGGTCACAAATGGCAAAGATATGGCTTCTTGAAATTAGAGTTGTCTAATTTTTGAGGTGTAACTGCCTGTGGAGTGAATTTAAACCAGCGAGGAATGTAAACAATTGGTTTCAGCTGAAACTGTGAGGAATGTATAGCAAAGCAGCTTGAACAGCTCTGGGGAAATATCCATTTGGGGCATCTACATGATATGTTTTGGGTGGAGGGAGATAGCAATATAAAAATCAATTATTCTCCTGGGGTGTGGGGGCGGGGGCACGGTGGCATGTGGGGGGGCTGCCATTGTGTGGGCTGGGTCTCATGCAGTTCTCTGCAACACCATCTTAAAAGGATGTGAGCCCCAGAAGCAAGCAACTTTTATTTATCCTTTCATGGGATGTGGACTGTGTATTTGTTCCTCATCCCCAATTGCTTTTGAGCTGTGAGGCATGCTAGACCATTTCAAAAGGTAGTTAAGAGCCAACTAATTTGTTGTGGGTCTGCAATCACATTGGGTAAGTGTGAGTAAGAACCCTTTCCTAAAGGTGGATTTTTATGACAATTGGCAATGGTTTCATGGTGACCAGTACTGAGACCAGTTCTCAATTGCAGATTTATTAATTGAATTTAAATCCCAGTAGCAACTGTGGTGGGATTCGAGGCCACATCTCAAGGATGTCAGTCAGGGTGTCTGGATTACAAGCCCAGTGATGTGATCACTGTGCCATTATCTGCTCTTTCCTGATGTTACAAAGCCTTATGCTGAAAACAGTGTCTGTTTCCCAAATTTGGTCTAGTCAGATCACTCCATGAAGAGCAAGCACTTAGCTGCAGAAGGGTACCAGGATATAAATTACTTTAAAGGATGTGGGTCGGGCAATTGTGAAGAACCTCTGCTATCGCAATCTGGCTGGAAGTATGCCCAAGTGTGTTTGGGGTTGGTCTTTGAGAGCTTGAGCTCACAGTCAGAATGTATAAAATAATTCCTGGCACAAGATCCGCTTTGTGATCTTTAATACAGTGTGAAATGGAACAGAAGATGCCGCTTGAGAAAGCATTTTAATGTGGGAGGAGGGGGAGGAGGGACATGAGCAGACTTTATGGATGTTGACTGTCAGGCATCAGATCATCAGGTACTCAATGTCCCCCTGACCAACATGGAAACTCTCCACCCTTACAGCCTGCTGAGGTTCCTGATCAGAATAGTCTCTTAGCCACCATTCAAAAGTAAAAGCCATCAACAAAATCTCGACAACATCTTTATCCAAGAACACATCAAATTAGACAACAATGAGTTATTCTTCCAGTGGTAGTTGGAACTGCAGATGCTGGAGAATCCAAGACAACAAGGTGCAGAGCTGGATGAACACAGCAGGCCAAGCAGCATCATAGGAGCAGAAAGGC